TTTTATGGTCACCACATTTTGGATTTAGCAGGTTGATGTTGGCCGTGAAATAAGTTAAGAATTGGGATCAAAATACACCACAAACAACAATATATATTTATGGGATCTATTTATCTCATGTTGCATGAGATAATGATCTCATATAATATAGACAAAGTAGTGGGGTTCACTATTTTTTTTTAAATATTAGATAATTATTTCCCTGTACTTATATATAAAACTAAAGAAAATGATCCGTTTACAAATTTTTTTTACAAATTACACTAAGTATAACCGGTCATACATTCTTTTTTTTTTGGTAACTGATCTTAATTACCTCTTTGAGGCGAATCAGAACCCCCGGTATCTCCACAAGTTCAACTCTTTGAGCCGCCTATGGGACTAATCAGAGTTCGGGTGCGAATTCAAGGATTACGGTACTTATGCCCCTCCCCAGATGGTGTTGGTGAGATTCGAACCGAGGTCCTCTTCCACCACTCAGTCCCCATGCTACCAACTGAGCCATCACACTTGGGTACCGGTCATACATTCTTGATTGAAGTATAACCGGTCATATTTAGTGTAATTTATAAGCAAAAAGTTTATAAATATAACTTTTCTCTCATATTAATGCATGTATATTTCCAACAAAAGTACAAAACAACTAACTATACAATACAAGTAACACCCACATTGAATGAAATAAGATGGTTGGTACATTAATTCTTTAAGCTCCAGATAAACAATTCCATTGATATTGAAAATGGTGCCTCGAGATTAGAGGAGTGACAACTTGAACATATTTTATACTAGGAAAAAAACAATAATCATGATCATCTGGTGGGTGGTACTTGAAGTCAGCATCTGACTTTGTGTATATGTCTATTATAGCATATATAATAGCATTGGAATGTGGTTGTGTACGAGACTAGTAAAACTTAGTTAGAAAAGAACGATGATGAGTGAAATAATTGAAATAGGTAATGAACGACAATGATCAATAATTTCTTATACTACAAAGAGGAAACAAAAGAAAAACGACATAGATGGATTGCGTGGACCTGGTGTCATGTGCACGTGGGGGTCAACATCGTCATCACCCCTATTGTAGGGTCTTTTATTTGGTTGTTGAGGTAAGGCCATTGAATGTGACAAACCTGTTCTACATTCATGCATGGGATTGGGAGGGGAAAAAAAAAAAAACACTGCTATTTGTGACCACGACAAGTGATGGTTGATGTAAACTCCTTTCTTTCAACGATGGTGTGGTCACACCCCTTTTCTCTTTTCCTATCTGATCTTTTTGCCGACTTGTTCAAATTCATTTTTGTACTTAATTAAGAGCTTATCTATGTACAGCACATGATCACGATGCAGGGAATCATAGATATGCAAGAGCTGGCAATGGGCCACTCCACTGTGTAGTTTAGAGAATCAACTCATGCTAAGGGTTTGACAATAATTATGACTGCTTCTAACTTGGGCCATTGTAGAGGATTTATGGGATTGGATGAATATAGAGAACCCTATCTCCTAATGGTCCATATAATGAGATCATTTTCTCTGTGTTTTCACCAAATTAATAATGTAAATTTTTAGAAGGAATTTCAACTTCTCTAAAGTGAGAAAAGAATAAAGTGTGGAGTTATAATTATTGATTAAGAAAATTGATGGTTGAGATTATGATAAAATACATGTGCATATATATATATATATATATATATATATATATATGACAAATTATAAAATTATTAAAAGTCAACGTTTTATTAATTTTTCAATCTAACGCTTGAAATTTTACATTTTGCTCCTCTCATGTGAAAAATTGATTATGTTATTTGATCACAACCACTTATTTAAAAATCATATACTTTTTTCTCTCTTATCTCATCATCAATGAGTAGTTGTCATTAAATAATATGATGACATGACCATTTTTTCACGTGAAAGGATCCAAATCCATAAAGTATACATCCTACTCTAGATAAGCCATAATTCATGACATAATATTAATGGTTTCTATGTACTATGAGTCAATGCTTAAAAAAAATGGCTAGTTGGTGGTTGGGGGGTTCATCACCTGTATTTAATGCTTCAATTGATTTTCAAATTTCACTCAATCAAATAATATTCAATTTCACGTAGTATTTGCCCTTAAAGGAGAGTTTTCATCCTAACTTAGGTGCAGAGAATTAGCCGTATGCTAAAAATAGCTTTGGAGCAGTAAGACTCTAAAGACTTGAGTGTGATATCAACATCAGATCTTCAATTCTTAATAGTTTTACCAAGTCACGTTTTTTCTTCTCCTACCGAGGTACTTATACCTCCCATGCAACTGAAAAAGATTGACAATCCCTTTATATATTCTTACATTAGAAATGAGTTAGTCATAATTCATATTGAGTGGGGATATTCTAACTACTAAAAATTCTCACTACTAACTTACTACTCATCACATCACCATTGGATCAAAGAGAGAGAATGATAAAAAAATTTTGAAGAGAGAGAAAATGTTAATCTAATGGTGATTAGATAGGTAGTAAGTTGGTAGTAAAAAAATTTGGTAGTTATAATATCCCTACTCATTCATATGTTCTTTTATGTGCTCTAATAAGTTATTCAAGTATACAAGGGGTGATTTAAGTCAAATTGGATCAGTTTTTAACAAACAAACAAAAGGAACCCAATCAAGTTTAATTCGTTTGATAAGTAATAGGATTGACTGTTGAAAAAAAAAAAAACAATGTTGTTTGATATTGTTTTTTTAACCAATAATCAAAACAATATTGCTTTATATAAAATAATGTGATGGGTTTGGTTAATTTTAATTTTTATAGGGTTAAAAAAAATAATACTTGACATCTGGAGTGATTAGGCTTAGGTTGGTTCGCTTTAAACCAAAATTAACTCAGCCATTGAATACATTTCATATTTTATGGGTTTGTACAAGTTGGATTATTCGGATTATCCCAACAAAAGCACACACTCGTGATTACCCCTAAAAGTACATTTGACCGAGTGCCATGCACAAGACACCGTGGTTTGTCCTTCTCAACCCATGCCTCACTTTTTCCGTGGTCTTTAACATTTCATTTTATCATCACGGTTTTCCCAAATTGTCTTGAGCCTAGTTATTATTTCATAGTAAACATAGTTGAATTATTTCAATTTGGAAATTATAACTTGAAGCCTGAAACCGAAACCCGAACACTATCTGTAACCATTTTTCTCTTAATAATTTATATTACTAGTACCATGGTATTTTTGGAATCTAGAGACACTAGTCTTGCCCTACCTAGTCTATTTGACAGATTCGAGCCATTTTTCTTCTTCACTAAGGGGACGTTTGGTAGGAAGGCAAAAAAAAATTGCCCAGAAAAAGAGGGTAAAGAAAAATAGATAGCCATGTTTGGTAGAAGCATTACAAAAACGGAGTGTGGAAAAAAAAATAATTCCGACTTTAGCTTTTACACATGGAGTAAATAAAAAAAATTTCCATCCATGGGATGGAACAAGTTTTTTCCCTGGAGCTAACAAATTCATCATGCTTTTCTAAGACAAAAATGCCCTCAAAATACGTATGCTCATCATCGGCTAAGGTACCATGTCTTTCTTCTACTTAATATCTGTCTCTTATGATCTGATTTCTGGTTATGGATGTTCGTGCATTTTGCCTAAAAATGACTGTAGCTACCGGTGTTGCACATGCAGATGGAGATCCTAACAAGAAATATGCAAAAAGACACCCTTTTATGACCTTTGCAGCTCAATCCTACATTCAAATCCTCTATGCCCCAATACTGATCGAAAGGGTATGGCCCTTATAATGGTCAATGACATTCTGACAAATGCTACTGACCAAGGTCGATTTGGGTTTGCAAGTTACTGCATATCTGATGCTGAGAAGGAAGTGGTAATTTGGTAAATTTAATTAACTTTCCCATCAATATTTTACAATCATCCAAATATAACATTAGTAAAATTCACCCAATTTTTTCAGAAAAATTTTGTCCTACCAAACACTTTTTTTTAACTTACCCGGCAAATAATTCTTCCCACCATGTTCCGAGCAAGTTTTTTTCTCTAAAAAAAAAAAGGCCGACCCAGTTCAAGACCCACTCCGTGAGTGTATGGGGAAAGAAAATTTGAGTCAAGCTTCACCCCTGCTTTGCAGGGGGCCGAGTCGAACCCCTGACCTGGAACACCACGGTAAGCAAGCTTACCGCTGAGCCAGGCCGGCCCTTCCAAATTTTTTTCTCTGATAAAAAAAATTTTCTCGTGTACCAAGCACCCTTTAAGATACATTGATGTGAGTGCTGTAAAACATACAGGTCTTGTTTAGCCTACAAATATCATTTTAATACAGCAAGATTTCATGCCTGCTTCCAGTTTGAGCTAGTAACCCTTTGGTCTCAGGGAAAACAAGGCTCGGAATAACAGTATGAATACACCATTCAAAATGAAATTGAAAGCTTACACCAGACTACCACTTTTTTCCTTACCCCAGCATGACAACAGCAAAAGCTTTTTAAATATAGAGACAAAGAACATAATATGATCTTCTTATCTGGCTAAATATCTAATATTTCATGATGGACTTGCACCTCAACCTTTTTTAAGTTTGGAAGAATCTGAGAAGTGTAGGATATGATCTATTTCATGATGGACTTGTCATATGAATTGGGATAAACACTCAACAGTAATCCACATTTGCAGGTTGCTAAGCATGAATCCAACACTTTGGGGGCTCTGCATAAACAGAAATATATGAGAAACGTTTGCAAGTTTGCAACAATGTAGTCATTCATGCATGTTTGCCAATGCTACCACCATTCAAAATGATTTTGTACACTGATGCAATAGTTTTGGGTAGGTAAAACATCAGTTACACCTTGCAGCATAAAAGTATGAGTTTTCCTATCACCTTGAAGACCCAACCTTGACTTCATCTTGTACCAAGCTTGTGATGACCTGAAAGACACATCAGAAGCAGAAAAATAAAAGAAAGGAAGGAAGGAGCAAACAAACAATCAAATAAAAGTAGAACTGTAGAGAAACAAAATTTGAATTAGTGCTGATTGTCCCAATGTCCCAATGAGCAAGAGGTAATTTTACAGAGGTGAACTGTTGTTATGAGTTATGACTGCATTAATATATTAGCTGCAGGAGGCCCTTTAACAGAGTCTTGACAATAGGGTAACCATGCTGCGTTGTGAAAAGAAATAGAGGACAAGATGTTGTAATTTTTAGTGCAGTTTCTTATAGCCATGGATGCGAGTCATATAGTTAATCCTGCTGGACAACATAAATCCAGAATGCAGTTATCCATTGAATTCTGCACTTTGCATCTGTTTTCATAATGAAATTATAATTACAGATGGCAGCCATATTTGACAAGAAATTACGCATAAGTGTTATGATAATCGCTTGTTCTTTTCCCAACAACATACATCCCCTTTGTCCCAAACTAATTGGTCTTTTCCCAAATCTAATCCAAATGAATTGGTGCATCAGATGTTTCATACAAACCAGTCGCTCAAAATTCATCAGACATCCAAGGTCCAAATTCCAAAGTAATCCCAGATGTAGCAGAGAGGAAATGGAGTCCGACCTTGACATGGAAAGGTTTAATTGATCACAGATTAATAAAGCTCCAGAAGGCAAACACACTCAATATGAGGGGTGTGTGGGAACATGTCAACAGGCTGTATGCTTATTAGCTTGTAACATCCTTTTATATTCTGCTCTGCCTGCATAAAACCTTCAACAACTTAAATAATTGAATCTCAAAGAACAAGAACTAATATATAATAAAATGACACATACCACACCATGACACAGATAATCAAGGTCACGTGCACATGTGGCAGGATTACATGACACATACACTATGCGAGGCGCCCTAAGATTTAGGAGGAATTTAATCAACTTCATGTGCATTCCTGGGCGGTTGGGATCTGCATCAAGTTTATAATGTGAGAAGCGAGATGCATTGTGGTCACCCAAAATGACAACCAATATTGTGAATTGTGATCTTCAGTCAGTGTGAAGAATTTATATGATCAGCATGTTAATACCAACAATTGTCTGTCAAAGACTTGCAGCACACATTTAAAAATACCAGTAGAAATCAGCACATCTCCCTCATGTAAGAAACCAAACGAAGCAAGTTCCCCTCAATTGTATACAAACCAGTACAGAAAGCTTCATAAATTTACATTCTCATAACACTTATCCACTTGCTTTAACGAAACAGCATTCAAATTTCAAGTGATTTTTTTTTTTTTTTTTGGTGGGGGGGAGGGGGGGGGGGGGGGGGGGGGGGAGGGCTTGAGAACCAGTGGCAATTCCAAATGTGTAGGATATATCTATATACACTTCTGATAAAGACTACACTAAGTAAATAGCTTCCAGCACATGCCAAACTAATTGAGAAAAATAAATGTTAACAATAGACTAAGTAGGAACAAGGAAACTTGAGCAACAAAACCTGAAATGACAATGTCAGGTTTAGGAAAATTCTTCCCAAAATTCTCATCAATTTTATTGAGATCCCCTTGGACAAATTTTGCATTTTGTATGCCATTTATCTTGCCATTAAGTCGGGCATCTGTGATGGCTTGAGGAACTACTTCATATCCATACACATGTTTTACACTGTTCAAAGTTGGAAGAGAAGACGTTACTCTTATTGTTTGACAGTTTGTCCTGAAATACTGAAACCAGATCAAGATAAAAGATTACCTTCTTGCAAGTGTCAGACCAATGGTGCCTGTTCCACAAAACAGGTCAAGGACAATTTCTGAGCCATCTCCTCTGACTCCAGCACATTCTTCTATAAGCTTATATAAAACCTCAGCCTAATAGGGACAAGAAAATTGGTTATTTTCTTGACTGATGGTCATGATTAAATTTAGGAAATATAATATGGGGCAGGACCTAAAGAGAATGCCAACTTTCTTTTGGCATATAGCAAACCTGATAAGTATTTGTTTGAAAGAAGGAGTTTGCTGATATTTGGAATGTAATCCCTCTTAAGGTCTCTGTAATGCTAGATTTCCCATACAAAGTGTATTCTTCCTCCCCAACAGATGTGTTACCAACAGAAGTATTTACATTATTCATGACGCTTACCTATCATCATGAAAATGAAGAAACTTTGAAAGTATTGAAAACAATATATACATACAGTTTGGAAACAAGTTAATAAGGTCATGACAATTTCTTGAAAAATTCTATATGACTGTTGTATTTAAAATATTGAGTTAAAATTGCATTACAAACAAATGAATGAAACATGGAATACAAAAGTGAAAACTTTACTGTAAATAAGAAGAATGTATTCAATTCTTTTTTGAAAAAAGTAAGCTTGTCATAGAAATCCTGAAGTTCACCAATAAAACTACAATGTTGATAATTATGTTGAAGAGATCTCTTGCACATCCTCCCCTCATTGCTTCCGCCATTCCCTTCTAAGTTCAAAGCAAGGTTTAGTAATCAGAGTTCTGTGCTAGACTGCATAATGTCTCCAAAAAAACCAAAACAAAATTTCACCCAGCATCAGTCTACCTCCGTTCCAACCCTTCCCCTCCCCATTTAGTAGGGGGATGTCAAAGGTCCATCCCCTGGATATATCATTGAAATATAGGGGTTTATCAAAATGAAATAAATTGTCAAAGACTAATTCTCCAAAAAGCTTAAGTTGTTAGATGGAAGCACTAGATGGTTTTATGTAATTTAAACAGCCCCTCCTGCTATCGCCCTTTAGGTGGTAAGTGGAAGTACTTGAATGTCCTAATATCTTTAACAGAAACAAAACTTATTTTCCATAACAGATTTTACTGAGATTGGAAAGTTAAGGAAGAAGCACACATGGAGATGCAGAAGCAGAATGTACAATCATGAGAAAAAAGTAATTAGAAAACTTAAAGTACCAACCACTTCAGGAAATACAGAAACTTTATCAACTAGAAACTGTAGCCGCTCTGGCTTGTAGGAAGAGGTCACAAAGTTGACCATAACTTCAGGCAGACCAGTCGTTACATCCCTGGAGCAAAAACCATATGTTAATATATGTACCCAAAAAATCATATGTTAATATTGATAGAAAACAAGATACCCTTCAAAGATATAAGAAAGTATGAAAGATACGATTGTTAGGGATGTGCTCAAAGGACTATAGACACTTCAACTCAAGGAAGTGTCTGATGCTATTACTGTTTTCTTTTTTTCTGGTGGTGTTAGGAGGATTCCTGATCGTCCAGCTCTGTATTTCACATCTCTTTCAATAAATTCTTTTATTACAAGAGATATATATACCTTGCATTCTTGCAATGTTTGAGCATTACTCAAGAGTATAGATACAATAACTACACTCTCCACATGTACATAAATCAATTAAGTCAGGGATCCCTAAATATATATTATATACCTTCCAGTTCTCAACATCAAATGCTTAAGAAATCCTGAGTGTGAATGAACATCATAGGGAGAAAAACCGAGTTGTGGATCTCTCCAACATTCTTGGATAGCTGCAAGAACCTATTCAGATTTCCAAGTCAAAACAGGAGAGTGTACTTTCCCTAATTGAATAAACTTCCAAGATGTCATAACAAATCAAATAAAAATTTTAAGTGAAGATTATTGTCACAAAAACAGTCAAACAATTAAATCTTACAAAATTATTGCACTGGATAAAGCTGTGCAATTAAAGATGAAAAAAGGAGTGTAGAAGGCAGAGAGGTGAGGCAAGGGAAGTTATCGAATGGTCAGTGCCTCTTGCATTATCAGGTAAGGCCCCATCAGTTAGGTGCATGCATCTGACATATTATAGCACATTTCTGTTTCAGACAAAGTGCTCATGACAATCAAATTTTAATGGCTAGTGACCGTAAATCCCCCCCCCCCCCAAAAAAAAAAGAAAAAGAAAATCCATCTAACTTTCTAATGGGGTACAACTATCAGAATGATCAAGCATAGTTTTAAATCTTAGTAGCCTAGGGTTTTGTAAACAAAACCAAATTTGAGAAAAAAGGAGACAGACAAGAAAAACAGAGGGCTGATTTAAATTTATATTTCTATTATGAATTTAGGGTTGCCTAACCTAGGGCTTTTTGTTATGAATTTATAACTTTTAGGGCTGCCATATCTAGATAAAAAAATAGCATCCCTCTGGCACACCTTTGTGGTTCAAAATATACTAAATACACAATCATCCACAAGGAAGCACGTACACTCCAAAAAACAGGGAGTGTCGTGTCCGACACGCTCCGACACGGTGTCCGACACGCGGTCAACATTCCCGACACGTTGACCATTTCGACACGCGAATTTGACTGTGTCCGACACGTCCCGACACGGTCAAATGGCATTTTCGTAAAAAAAAAGAAAAATTAAAATTTTTTTTTTTAAATTGAAATATATTAATAAAGCTTTCACCTGATCATATCAATTTTATTTTATTTTGCCTTTCTTCCCTTAAGTAGATAAGAGATCATATCAACATCATTGTTGTCAATTCCTATTACGCTCTTGTTGTATCTTCTTCTCTATGATCTCTCTCTCTACTTTGATTTTATCTCTCTATCTGATATTATCTCTCTCTCATCCCAGTTCCTTTTTTTTTATTAAAGCTTCCACCTTTATAACGTGTTGATGGATATTATTAATTTAGTTTCATTTTTTTTGTTAAATTATTGAATATTAAATGAAATATACGCTATATAAATTAAAAATATTATTTAATATTAAAACGTGTCCCAACGTGTCGAAATCCATATTTTTTTAGGATTGACGTGTCGGAGTGTCGTGTCGTGTCACGTGTCGTATCGGTGCTACATAGATCATCCATGTGTCTCCACCTAATAGTTTAAGTTTTTGAGATAATTGGTTCATGACATGCTATCAAAGCCTTTATGATCAAGTGGTCTGAATTTGATCCTTGCTGCTGCTGCCGCCACCCTTCTAATAAAAAGTTATATATCAACACAAAGTAGGTGAATTTGTGCATTGTTCACGCTTGAAGCTCAAAGGATTCTTACGCGAGGGGCAGATTAGAGATGTAATATAAAATCATTCATGTGTCTTCCCTTTATCACGTAAACTTTTTGGGATAGTTGATTCATGACAAACTGCATACTAATCATACAAGCTTGTAATTCAAGCTTGTAATTCTAAATAAAAGAATAACATCGCCTACCTTATTGGCAGGATCACTTTGCAGTAAGCACTTGTCAACATTCAGAACTTTGTCAAAAAAACCAGGAGCATGCAATCCAAGTGCATAATTTTCACTACCAGCATGTCTTTCATGCAGTGATTCTTTAGGTAACCATCTGTGGGGACCAAATGAGAATTCCATCTGCATAAGCAGGAAAATACACAAATAATTTATTAACCAACCGCACATAAGTAGTTACATTGGGCTGATAAATGATAATTTGGTTTAAAAAAGAGCTAGTACGGGTACAGCACTAACCTTGTTTCTATAATGAAACTGAATATCACACTGAACAATGGACTTCATAATGCCGTTTGATTCCAGTTCTCCGTGAGAAAACCTTCCCACATGCACCAACAATTCACGAACCTGCTCCTCCTTAGCTCTAAGCTGAGCCTCATAAGACAAGTTTTGCGTCTTGCATCCCCCACAATAAGGAGCATACTCACAAGGAGCATCCACAATGTCACGGGGAGGAGTTATCGTCTTCAACTTAGTTACCTGCTCTTGTTAACCAAATTAAAAACAAACAAAAAAACCCTAACCCTAACCCTAACCGAAGTGAGAAAACACGGAAACATCTTTTGTGTATGAAATTGGAAATAGAAGAAATGACCTCAGCGTAATTGCCTTTCTTGCGGGTGACTCGGCCGAGGAAGCGCTCGCCGGGAAGGACACGGTCGCACATGACGACGAAGCCAGTGTCGGTGACCTTGCAGAGGCCCTTGCCTTTGAAAGCGAGTGACTCGCAGACCAATTCCAAGGTCTGGCCACGCTTTGGGAAATACGAATTGGGTTTGGAGCTTGTGTTGGGCTCCAAGTCTTCGGCGAGAGAGCATGACACAGAAACAGAGTAATACGATGGTCGAAACTTTCGAATGTGCGGTGGCAGTTGCCTGAACCTGAACCTGAACCATTGGTTTGAAATGGTCGCCATTTTCGCGGTTTTGGCACAAAGGGGGCGCTTAGTTCTTAACACTACAATAAAATTATTTTTAATTTTTATAAAATCATCAATATCTATTATTTTAGTGCTTGTTCATTTTTGTTCTTGGTATTTCATTATCAGTCTTCTCATCCAGTTTCATTCTTTGTAGAATCTATTTCTTCAGGGGAATTGATAAAAAATTATATTTTATATAAAGTTATATTAAAAGGTGTAAGAATGTCACTTCAAGAGAAAGAAAGTGTTCAAGATATCATAATTTAAGTTAATTCTCCGAAGATAGTATGCTCATTTCTCCAATTTGATTTGCCACCCTAGATCAGCGCAGTTAAGATGATTTTAACGCGGAAGCACTAAGGAAATATCTGAATTTAAATACAATACATTTATAACCAAAGTATGAATCAAAACAAGTGCCCCACTACCACTTGGATTGCACCAAGAAATAAACCCCAACATGGGCTTTTTAATTATCTGTGTTACAATTCGTCATGATATTTACCCTCTACCACTGGTACATCCTGATGAAGTTTCAGAAGATACTTAGTAGCTAGTGATGCATGAAGTGCAGCTCCATAAGGAAGCGCATCTTCATTGATTTTGAAATAGGGGGAGTGTGGTGACTCAAGACGTTCAAGAGTGGCATTCTGCATTCCAAGGAGGAAGAAGTATCCAGGTAAAACCTGTTGATAAAATGCAAAGTCCTCAGATCCCATCAATGGTTGCATGCCATTAACTTTATTGACGCCGAGCAAACTCCCAGCAACACTTTGAAAATACCCATGCAAGTCCCCATTGTTTATAGTTGGAGGGAAGAAAGGTTTCTCTTCATCAAGGAAGCTGACCGTTGCATTGCACCTCTGCACAGCAGCTTGTCCAATGATAACCTACATAAATGAATCAACCTTAGCCCCTTTATGGGATTGCAGCAAAAACTACAACACGAGTACAATCATTTCTTGGTTGCAACAGAAACCAAATAAGCCTGACAACAAAAGAAAAAAAGGAGGTCTACTAGGTTTTGACCCCATTTACCCGGCAAGAATTTATGAATCTACTTTGCACAATAGCAACTTCAAGCAAAAACACCCCACAAAGAATTTAGTTCCCAAATTTCTGTAATCCATGGATCTGAAAACTCTCATGCAAGTTTTTCACCAGACAAAGTCACAAGAAGAGAGACAAACACAAAGAACTTGCAAAAGACCCAACATATTTTGTCATGTGCAGGGCCTATGTCTATCTCTCTCCACCGTAACCCTATCATGTGAAAAAACTCATTAAGGGATCTAAATCCATAATCCACGCATCTACTTGGAGTTCTGTTGATTAACGATTTGTATGCCAACAAATAAGAGAGAGAGTTGGGTGGGGGGTGGGGGGCTATGGGGCGATGATTCGGAGTTGATCATGTGGAAAAAATAAAAAACGAGCTCGTTCGTTCCAGTTAAGCATAAAAATGAATCTACTCTTCTCCACGACAGACCTGCTCAATCCGCTGTCTCAGTTGCATGATGCTTTCTTTTGAAAAAGCTCGGAAGGTGCCACCAATTGTGACAGAGTCTGGAATAACATTGAATGCATCACCTCCTTGAAATTTTGCTACAGTCACAACCTGTGAGGATATTATTTATGTTAGGAACACAAAGTGGATTGCCTCCATAAACAAGGAATTACTTTTGGAAACAAGGCTTTCATCATATTCAATAATAATTGTAAACAGATGATGCCATGGTATGTTTCACAACATTGTTTTCCCCCCTAAAATAGCCACAGGAGTCGGCAAGACAGTGTGTCTCCAACGTAAGTGTTGTATGAGTCGTGACAATCTCCATTCTTTGATAACATATCGAAATATAAGGCCCACAAGGATAGAAAGCTTTTAATGCCTCACACAATAAAAAAAGCACAAGGTCTCAAATTAAGTGAAGTGACAAAAAGGTAGAACTGATACTTCTAAATTATATGTACATAAATAAAAGAGAGAGAGAGAGAGAGCAAAAGCAAGGGAAGCCAAGAATTTCCAAAGATATAGGTCTGCTTGCTTAGGCTGTGCCAATAGTTTCCTTCTACTTCCCTCCGTTCTTTCAGATGCCCATAAGTAAGCATATAGAAGACGGACTGGCTGCTTTGGTAGTCATGGATTCAAAATATGGTACACACTGATTGCTCTTAGACAGTAAAGTAAGGATAAAATATATGAATAATTAAGATGTGAAAGGTAAGGAAGAAATGGAGTAAGTTTACCTGGGAGTCCAGAGGATCAGCCTCGCGAGAAACAATATGTTGTAAGCTAACAATCACATTGGAAGCTGCCAAAATGGGGTCTATAGAATGCTGAGGAATAGCTGCATGACCTCCCCTGCCACTTATTATTGCTTCAAAGAAGCCGTTTCCTGCAAATAGAGGACCAGACCTAGAGGCCACTTCCCCAATAGGTAAGTACGGTGCGATATGCAATCCAAATATGGCAGAGACATTTTCTAACGCTCCAGCATCTAAAATTTTCTTAGCCCCTCCACCTCCTTCTTCTGCTGGTTGAAAAACAAGAACAACAGTTCCCTAGAGACAACAAATAAAAGAATGAGGGAGCCATAAGAGGACGTAAAAAAAAAAAAACAAGACAATTCAAAAAAAAGTAGTAGACAGTGTCCTGGGATAGTACATGATACAGGGGGCAACATTTTTCTTTTCCAGTCTTGTTCTAGATTATGTGTTTGTTACAATTATAACAATCACGGATGCATTGATTTATGTTTTTAATACTTAAGTTGCATGCCAGATGATAGTATGATTGTAACACACGAAGTTGGCATAATGAGCGCTCATAAATTAGGAGGAGTTTCACAATATGAGAAATGTCAGAAACAGAAGTCATGTTTGACTTGACATGATTGCAGTTTAAAAAACAGAAGGAAAAAAAAATGTAACAGCAGAAGAACATAACCATACTTGTATCTCTTTTTCATGCTCTTTGAGGATCTTTGCAGCACCAAGAAGCATAGCAACATGAGCATCATGACCGCATGCATGCATCTTTCCAGGTACTTTGCTCTTGTGTTCCCACTCCACCATTTCCTAAGGTTAGAGACAGCAGAAAGAAAGAAAAAAAAATTCAATGAAATATATATAAAACAGTGCCCTCTAACAAATATAACCCTGGAAAATGGTAGGTGGGGATTTATAATGAAAAATTGACTAAAGGCAAAGCATTTTATTTTTATTTTATTTTTGGGCATCAAAGTGATCAAACCAAAATATAATCCATAAAAAAGGGGAAAAAAAATAAATAGTTAAAAAGCCAAAGCCCTTCTACAAGCACATGGTAAGCATAAAAGAAAAGAAAGAAAATATAAAAACCATGAAGACCTGCATAAGAAGAGCATCCATGTCAGCTCTTATTGCAACAAAAGGAGGGTTCCCAGTCCCTATGTAGCCAATAACACCAGTTACTGCAACTGGGTATTTATATGCTATGCCCAATTTATCCAATTCAGCTCTTATCAGCTCACTCGTCTCAAATTCCTCATAACCCAATTCTGGATTCTCATGAATCTTCCTCCTGATCTCCACCATCCATTCAAAAACCCGAGGCTCCTTCGCTAAATCTAGAAACTTGGTGGTGTGGATTTCCAAGTTTTCATTTGAGCTCAAGTAGGAATCTGAGAAGAAGAGTGTTACAACAAAGAAATGAAAAACTATGAACAAGTTGACCAATCTGAAGAAACCCATTTTCTGCTTTGAAATTTCAGGTGGGTCTGTGAAGAGAGAATCAAACGGACATGATGAAGCAACTAAAATCACACAGCTCAGAAGACTATATACTGAGTACTAAGAGTTGAAGCAACTAAACCCATTTTCACAATTTGTTCTTTTTTTATTGTCAGACTGAAAATGACTTCGTAAATATTGCGAGGGACTAAAAAAGTTGTTTATTCTAAATATAAATTCATTAATCTAAACTTACTCAATGGCTTGAAATTTTTGTTAAATTTCATTCTATTATTAGAAATCATTAAATATTATAAAAAAATTTAACACAAATAAAGTGAGTCTGATGCATTTTATACTTTTCAAGCTTAATAGATTAGTAAATGTATTAGAAAAATATAAAATTATTAAGATAGGTTTATCCAATTTAAAAATATAAAATAAATAGATTAAGATGTTGATTAGACAGCAATTTAAAAATATGATGAACATGTGGATTTGTAAGGGTGGGCGGTTGTCTCAAAAGGCTCAAGCCGCAGCAGTACGTGAGAAATTTCATTACTTTACGCACCTATTTTAACCTGTAGGAAAACGATTGATGAAATTTTTATTGCAAAAAACAGTGCCATAAAAAAATATAAAATAAATAGATTAAGATGTTGGCTAGAGAGCAATTTAAAAATATGATGAACAGTTCACCAAAAAAAAGTATGATGAACATGTGGATTTGTAAGGGTGGGCGGTTGTGTCAAAAGGTTCAAGCCGCATCAGCACGTGACAATTTTCATTTCTTTACGCACGTGATAATTTTCATATCTTTACGCACTTAAGTCTTAAGGTAGCTAATTATACGACAAAGTTGTATGGACTCACAACCATACAACTTTATTAACTTTATTGACCATAATTATATCCACTGACGGACTCAGAAAATTTTCTTTATGTCTATATATTTAGTGACGAGGGTTTGGGGGCACTGTTCCGAAAAAAAAATTGTAAAAAAAGTTTAAATCAATGCTTTATGTACATCCAAAACAAATAGTTTGACCAATCATTTCCCCATAAATCTTATTAATCCTCCAAAACAAATATGAGAATAAACTCCAGTACATCCATACATCATCATTCTATTTATAATGGTGAATAAAAAAGTCAACATTACATGTAAAGAAGGCAAGCAAAATAACAGTGAAGGCTCTCATCTCTAGAGATTAACTTATTTAAGAATGTCACACCTGCAATCAATCCTCTCTTTTTAAGCCAGAATATAGCACCAAAGCTGAAAGCAAACCCCGATAAAAAAAAGGTCACATAGAAAGTAGGACAAGACTCATTATAACTCACATTATGAAACAAAGAAAAAACCTATAAGTTGAAAAATACCTTTTTGAGAAAAATATTTCTTCAATACATGCAAAAGCAACAAGTCTCTCCGCAAATAAAGTGGAATTGTAGCCCATCCACTACAAGAAGTATTAGAAAGCAATATCTATGTTACCTTTAGAGGATATAAAAGTCATTCCCCAATTAAACCCGACTACTGAGTGAAAAAAATTAAAGCAAAAAAATTAAAGCACTTGTTTAAAGATTAAAGATTCTTCCCAGTTGTTCAATTTCTGTAATTCTTCACAATCCGTTATTTCTACTGCCAATGGGGGTACCTAAAAAATTACTGGTCAAGGATCCTTAACCCTTTCTGATAGCTTATTTCTAGACTCTGTGTTGGTTGTACCCTCTCTTGAATACAACTTACTCTCTGTGAGCCAATTAACTTCAAAGCTTAATTGTTTAGTAACTTTTTTTCCCTCTCACTGTATTTTTCAGGACATCCCCACTCGGACTACTCTTGGTTATGGTGTTAGACGTGGCCAGCTTTACTTCTTGGAGGTCCCTGATCCTAGTCATCCTTCTTTGGCTACTAAATGTGCAACAACCGGTCCAGAACAGTCCTGTGCTACCATTTGGCTTTGGCATCGAAGACTTGGTCACCTTTCCTTTAGTTATCTGAAAAAGTTATTTCCTCGGTTGTTTTCTCATTTGAATAATGTTGATTTCAAATGCAGCACTTGTGAATTGGCCAAGAGTCACAGAGTTCCTTATTTTCCTAGTACTAATAAAAGTTCTATTCCATTTCAAGTTGTTCATTCCGATGTTTGGGGCCCTGCAAAGGTGCCTTCTTTCTTAAAAGCTTACTATTATGTGACTTTTATTGATGAATGTACCTGGATGACTTGGTTGTCACTGTTAAGACACAAAAGTGATATCTTTGATACCTTCAAAAAATTTTACAGCAGGGTCCAAACCCAATATCAGTCTAAGGTTCAAATTCTACAATCTGATAATGGTAGGGAATATTTAGATGGCCGCTTTATTGATTTCTTGAGCACACGGGGGATCCGACACCAAACCTCTTGCCCTTATACACCCCAACAGAATGGCCTAGCTGAACGAAAAAATAGACAACTACTAGAAGTGGTTCGTGCCTCCCTTTTTGGTATAAATTTGCCTAAAACATATTGGGGTGAAGCTGTTGTGTCTGCTGCCTACCTCATCAACCGTACTCCATCCAGCGCCCTTCACTTTAAAACTCCACAACAGACTCTAGAATCTTATTTCTTCATTCCTCGCATTCCCAACCTTGAGCCTCGTGTTTTTTGGGTGCATGGTGTATGTTCATATCCCCAAGGTATTACGAAACAAATTGGATCCTTGTGCTAAAAAATGTGTATTTGTGGGTTACTCTAATGTACAAAAAGGTTACAGGTGTTATGATCCCGTTCTCCACAAAATGCATGTCACCATGGATGTGTCTTTTCAAGAATTGAAACCATATTATTCAGGGGAAGATTCTGTTACTTCTTCTCAGGGGGAGATACCTACTACTGGAGAAGAAATTATAACTATTCAACACACTCCTGGATCGGATGTTACCCCTCCCACAAATGATTTTTCTATGCGTCTAACACCTATAACTGAGGCATCGTCCCTGGATGTTCCTGAATCCATACCTGAGGTAAACACTAATCCTACTCCTATTTCTTCAAATGGACCTTCTTTTACTAGCATAGATGATCCCATCTTACCTGTTAAAGTGTCACAAAGACCAAATAAAGGTGTACCAAAACAACTTTATGAACCAGATCCAAACTCTAAGGTCAAATACCCTATCGGTAACTACATGTCCAGTCATAGGTTGTCAGAATCATATATTGCATCTGTTAATCAATTGTCTAGTATATTTGTTCCTAACAATGTGCAGGATGTTTTGGATGATCCAAATTGGAAGGAAGCCATGAATGTAGAGAAATGAAGGCCTTACAAAAAAAACTCAACGTGGGACCTGGTTCTTTTACCAAGCGGGAAGAAACCAATTGGATGCAAATGGGTGTTTTCTGTGAAGCTTAAAGCAGATGGCAGCCTTGACAGATATAAAGCCAGATTAGTTGCTAAGGGATATGCACAAAAATACGGGGTTGATTACCAAGATACATTTGCACCAGTAGCAAAATTGAACACAATTCGTATTCTGATTTCTATAGCAGCTAACAGGGACTGGCCACTCAAGCAATTTGATGTAAAGAATGCATTTTTAAATGGAGACTTAGAAGAAGAAGTGTATATGGAAATTTCACCAGGCGCCAAACATGCCAACTTGAAGGGAAATGAAGTGTGTAGATTAAAAAAAAGCACTATACGGCCTCAAGCAATCGCCTAGAGCTTGGTTTGGCAGGTTCTCTCTAGTCTTGAAGAAGTTTGGATACAAACAAAGTAATGCAGACAACACCTTATTCATAAAACATAATGGAGGAAAGGTAACAATGTTAATAGTGTATGTTGATGATATGGTTTTGACTGGTGATTATTTATTTAAAATGGAGTTATTGGAAAGACATTTAGCAAATGAGTTTGAAATGAAAGATCTAGGATCATTAAAGTACTTTCTTGAAATTGAAATTGCTAGATCAAATCAGGGAATTTTTTTGTCACAAAAAAGTACATTTTAGATCTACTTGCAGAAACAGGAATGATAACATGTAAACCAGCAGAAACACCAATTGAAATGAATCATGTATTGAGTTTATATCCTGATCAAGTACAGACTGATGTTGGCAGATATCAAAGGCTAGTAGGGAGGCTAATTTATTTATCACATACTAGGCCAGACATTGCTTATACAGTTAGTGTTGTGAGCAGATTTATGCACAACCCAAGTGAGGATCACGTGGCTGCTGTGTATCGAATATTGAGGTATTTAAAAGGGTGTCCAGGGAAAAGTCTGCTTTACTCAAAAAATAATAGTCCCGGAATTAAAGGCTACACAGATTCAGATTGGGCTGGAGATAAAACTACCAGACAGTCAACTTCGGGATATTTTACTTTTGTTGAAGGCAATCTAGTTACTTGGAAGAGTAAGAAGAAAAAAGTTGTGGCTAGATCGAGTGCAGAAGCAGAGTTTAGAGGAATGGCACAACAAATGTGTGAATTGTTATGGATTACGAGCATCCTACAAGACTTAGGAATCTGCTACAATCAGCCTATGGAGTTACATTGTGATAATAAAGCTGCTATTGAAATTGTCCATAATTCAGTTCAACATGATAGAACCAAGCATGTAGAAGTGGATAGACATTTTATCAAGAAAAAGCTAGATAAAAAATTATTCAATTTCCTTACATTAAATCTGAAGATCAGTTAGCCGACATCTTGACAAAGGTTGTATCAGTAAAAGTGTTTGAAGAAGCAATTAACAAGTTGGACATGATTGATATCTATGCACCAACTTGAGGGGGAGTGTTGAAATCAGATAATATTTGCTGAGTTGTACAGTTGTTGGAATTTTAATCATTGATTACGCAATTACATAATCATAAGAGATTTGTATTAAATAGATTAATTTTTTTTATTTGCAGTTGATTGACATAATCATAGGAGTTTTGTATTAAATAAAAATAGTAACAAGTTATTTCATTTCCTTATTCATAGCTGATTGATAACTACTTTATAATGGACCTAGAGTCCTCATTTATATATATAATTAATCCAATAGAAAAAGAATAAACATACAAAAATATTCATAATATCGCACT